GACTCTGCAATCAACTCATTGTCATATGACCCTGAGGACCAAGTCATCATCTACTATAGGTGGCATGGGGTAAGGGTCATATCATCTGGTCACTGCTGACCAGGTTTGACCCAGGATCGACCATGGTGTCATGCTATATAAAAAGTTATTTTTTGCCCTATCAAAATTTGTTTCTGTATTTAAATGATGAAACAAGGAATTTTATTGATGTATTCCCATGAAAACAAAAATAGCTTAATCTCTAACACATTATGAAACATTAAGAAGTTTCAATGACTTAACTGCAAAATTGAAATTTATATGAATGGTCAAAGTTGCATTCCTATTTTATTTTTACACTGTTTTTTAGGATGGAATGTGATGTTCCCTCTTGCATTTATAATGATTTTTCACTTGTTTGAAGCCTGCATCTTTACATATAGACTGTTAAAATGGGCTTCTGGCCCAATAGCACAAGACGGAAAATCATAACTCAGTTACTAATTGAGCTAGCAAGATAAATTTGATACCATTTTTTATGTTGTGACAAGCTCTATATGTCTACATGAAAACCATTTAAAAGAAAAATAGTTCTATTCCTTTGTGTTATGATTCTCTCAAGGGAGATGTTTAAGAGAGTGTGTATGAATGTGAATACAGATTTGCTTAACTCAAACTGTCCCAAACTAGTCCCACATGCTTCCACTAAAATACTGACCTAATTGTTGCTGAATAATTTCACAGACAACCACTTAAATAAAAAGGACTCAAATTTTTCAATGAAAAGCTCTTGAAAAAGAATCTCCTGAGAAGAAGAAAAAACTAAAGCCATTTAGTTTGGGGAAGTGATCAGGCCAGGACCTTTTCCATACTTCATTGTAAAGCTTGTTAGCTATAATTGCTCCCAACCAATATATCCATCCTATCTTCATACATATCAATAACTTACATCATAAAATTCATTATATATAACCAAATAAAATGAAAGTCATTTTGGTCTTCTGACCCATGACCAGTAAAAAAAAAAAACAAAAAAAACTCCAATTCCATATCTCATCGTAAAAGACATGAATGTAAAACAGACATTCACTATGATGAATTGTAAAAGTTGAATATAGCAAATGAAAGATTCAAATGAAATCACTGTTTCTGTTAAGTTCTTATATTTAAATGAAGACAAATAATCAGATTCTACAGCCCTATTTACCACTTTGGTTTGAACCAGAGATCTCTTGTTTTATGCAATCTCATTTTTAGTCTTTATTCAAATCATGTGACAAGAGGAGGAGGAGGCAGAGAAAGCTGAGCCAAATCAAAGTGGATATAAGGATTTTTTTTTTTTTAATAGAATTCTCACACATTTAGAGCTTCACAATAATACAAGTTATCATAACTACTTTTAGACTGTACAATAAAAAATTGGTTTCAGTGGGCATCATGTTGGGTTTGCCTTTCTGCAAGTGCACAAGTAAAAAAAAAAGAGAAGAAATATTCTACATATACTCAAGATTCATACAAATCAAAGGAAGTGAAGAACACAGATCTATCTAAAGATAGTTAATTCCTTTTTGACATATTTAAAAGGCAGGCAATGGGAAAATATTGTCTCACCAATCTATGATTACTTATCAGGCTTGTAAAATTGATTAAAAGACTTTCAAGAAAAGTTTACTTTAACTGAAAAATTATAAAAAGAAGAGAATCATTTTTTTCTCTTAGTGATTAAATTCAAAGATTATAACAAAATATCCTTAATAGACAGTGTTACGGTTTAATTCAGATTGATAAATGATGTTGAATAATATATTTCTAACAGATAAGAATGTCAATTTTTTGGGGTTTGTTTCATGGTGAAAACAAGATTTGGGGGATTGAAAAAAAGTAAAAAGGAAAAGTGAAGCTTTTAGCAAGATGCTCATAAATTTTCATTGAGAATTCTTCTGTGGATTTTAGGGAATAGCATTCATCAAAAAAATTGTTGGGTAAAGAAATGGACATGATGCATTTTGCTGGGTGTTTTTTTTCCTTCCATGAAAACTAAAATTACAAGATGCGTTGTTCTTTTTCAATATATACATGACATTTTTTAGAAGAGGAAGGAGTTTCCAGATCTTAAGACTCATTAACAAACTTGATAAAATTAGAGAATGAAAGGAACTTCAATGACAAATTTCATGACATTTACACAAGTACTGATGTAACTTATCTTTGCAGGTGGATGTTAAAATAATATGGATATGGTAAGATTAGGGGTGGGAAGGTACTTTAAAAGTTAGACAGAGAATGAATTTCTCTTATAATCATAGATATAAAAATGCAATTCAAACTAGATCATTTTCTGATGTTATTGGAACAAAAATATTAACTTCAGTTTATTTTTTTAATATTTTAAGTTGTAGAATAATGAATAGAAACTGAAGTCCGTTCAAGTTGCTCCAAACAATCAACAGGTGTCAATTTGGCTAATTTTTTTTTTTTAAATATAAAAATCAGTCAAGATCTAAAGATGCTACAAAATAGTGAAGATTTTCAAACTTTTTTTTTAAAGTGTCCAATTAGACAAAGTTTGCAATAAGATTTACCTGCAAAAGGTAAACCAAATGTGGTTTTGTTTAATAAAAGAATCCTTAAAAGGCAAAACAAAGAATTGGAAAGAACAATTGATGAAGGACACTTGACTAGCAAATGTGGTAGACAGTGGCAGTTGTGATGGTCAGCATTGGAACAGGTTTTGCTCTTGAGTAGACAAAAGTTGACATTAAAAAAGAGCAAAGGGAATGTGGGGGGGGGGACCAGAAAAAGAAAAAGAGAACATGAGTGATTGGAAAATAATTGCAGTAGAAATATAAAAATTGAAGATAAGAAAATTTTAGGCACCCCCCCCAAAAAAGATTTTTTTTTTTTTTTTTTTTTTACAAACAACAAACTCAAAATGGAATAAAGCCATCTCTTTTAATGTAAACAAACTAATGTATTCAATAATTCATAATATAAAATTTTAATTTGCCAAAACAAGCGAGTAAAGAGAAAATTTCTTTAAATTTTAACAACAAAACCTTCATAACAAAGAAGAGCTTCAATATGATGGGCAGGGAGCCAAAATCCTTCAAGTTGAGAAAGGCAAAATTAAATTATATAACAGAAATATATGAATCATCTTATCTCTACCCAAAACAAAGAGGGCCATGCAGCACTGGATATAAACAGATATACCTGGGGTGGATGTGGGAAGGGCTATGATAAAGAAAAAGAGGAAGAAAAAAAAAAAAAAAAAGACATCTTCATATACAAGGCAGAGGCACATACCTAAGTATTTTGATTCTATCAAAAACAAAGCAGTAAAATTCCAAATTAGATATTGCAATTATCTTATTATTCTGACAAGGACTCACCAGTAATGGACAATGTGGTTCTAGTAAATATCAGCCATGAAGGTTTTTCTTATGTATTAATTTAAAATCACATGCCAATTACCTATTTCTAACTTTAGTTTTCTGAGTTGCATAAAAACCTTTAATTTTACCATAATAGTAAAAATGAGATTAGTTAAACTTTAATGAGAAAAAAAAATCATTGCACAATTAAAAGGAAAGAGACAAAGATAAAATTGTTCGGGGGGAGGGGGGGATCATCTGATTTGGCAAGTAAAAGCAAGTGTAAAAAAGGTTTTTCAAATAAATAAAAGTACTCTAATCCCCCCAAGATGAACAAAGTTGTTGCAAGTTCATTGTGAAGAAGAAATTTGATTGAAGCCACGTCCTCCAATAGGAAAGGATTCTTGATAGAATGGGTGGGTGGGGGGCTTACTTTTAAAAAATTTGTTAGTCAATAGCAGATGTAAGTGTGAAACAAAACTGTCTGCATGAATTGGATCAAATAAACAAAAGTTATTAGCAAAGTGCTGATCAAAAAAAAGAAACAGCAAAACTAATGAACTTACTTTTCTTGAGATCAAATGTTGAAATATACTTCATAATAAAAAGCCTGCCATGAGGTCATGAGGCAAATTGAAAAAAAAAAAGAAAAAAAGAAAGAAAAAAAATGCGTGTCTAATCCAAACAAGGAGAATTCTCTTTTGGATTCAGCTTATTGTTATTGTTCATGGCATTGTGTTGACATTGGTACAAAGCAACCATTTTAATACAAGTCAAATCTCTTGGTCATGGGTGTGAGGAGGGGAGAAGAGGAGGAGGAGGCAGTAGGTGTTGTCAAATCTTGGAGAGCCAAAATGTGCCACAAAAATGAACACCTTTGGTTCTACTTGGTTCTCTTGGGCATCTGACTTCCAGAAGTCAGTAAGAAATTCCTTAAATAGGGAGGAAAATCCCTTGAAAACAAGGCCATATATAATTTTTTTTTTTTAAATATGCTACTCCTCCTCCTCCTAAAATAAAAGATTTAAAAGTGAGGTAGATGTAATTATCCAAGTTTAGAAAAGTAGGTGACAAATGTTGGTATAAAGGTTCGATAGAAATTTGTCTGAGAACAAAACAGGTGTCAAAAATATGCTCAACTCAGTAGGGCATGTGTGAGAAAAATCGTTTCTGGTGGGGGGAAGGGGGGACAAATAATTGTGCGTGTATGTTTTATATATTTCTTTTCTCATTGGATTTCCAAAACTGATGATGTTCAGGTAACACTGCTACTGTTTCCAATTTGATAAAATAAAAAAGTCCTATGTTGATTCATGTCTATTTCTTACATCCTCAATATTTTGGTCATCAGCAAAGTCCTGGCAGAAGTCAAGGTAGGAGACACTAGTAGAGCAAAAGGCATTAGTTAAATAACCAAATGCAACAAGCATAATGGTCTCTAGTTCACTTGTTAGCAGTGTGTGCTGGATCAAATGTAATGGAAATATAGTAAACTGACTGGTCACTTAGTAAGCAGCTACTTGCAAAGGTAGCAATACTAGTTTTGTGTATACTTGACTTTTTTAAAAAGATTTTTTTCTTCTTCAAATATCAAATGTCCTAGAGGACTACGTACTCACTAGATTTTTTTATTTCAAAATATGAGACTAACAAGAGAAATATAATGGTAAGCTGATGAGAGAGAGAGAGACCAAAAAATAAATTGGTAACAAAGAGAAAATAACGAGAGGCGGAGGAGAAGAGAGAGTGCACTAAGCAGTCAGTGTTGTTACTGACTACAGTATAGCAGTGTCACTAGTGTTGTTGGTAAGGTAGAGTTGTAAGTTGCAGCAGCAGCAGCAGCTGCAGAGAAGGAGGCAGTTGAATCAACAGACTTTCTATATATTTCTATCTAGAGAGGAGAGACCTATAACAAACAGTTCATAATACTAGCATCACCATCTACTTGTAGTGGTGGGGGTGCAACAAGCAGCAGTAGTCTGGTGACAGCAGAAAAAATGCCTGCCACTACAGCAAGAGGAATCGATCAATATTAAAAAGGAAGCTGCCGCCATCATCAAGCCATAGTTTGAGTGAAGATGAAGGTTATATTACTTGTCCGATCAAAAGTTAGTCTAGCATTAGTTATTAGTGTAAATAGAATAATGAGTGACAAACCTATCTCAATGGTTAGTGCATAGTTACGCACACATTAGATGGCCTTAAAGAAGCCTCCAGTGATTAAGAGTAATAGGTGCATCTAATTTATGCAGCAAATAAAAATAGCAAACATCTATAGTCAACTACTGTACTAATAAACAAGGCCCTACTGATAGGAATGTAGTAGAAGCAGGCAACTGCATCACCAATTGGAGAGGAGAAAAGTGTCGTTGCTCAAATCCATTCAAAATCTATATGAAAAGGTAAAGAGCATGAGAATGAGAATAAAGCAAGAATGGATTTGAGTTAAGAACTGAAATTGTCTAGCTGTTCTAATTGGTAGAATCAAATAACACACAAAGTTGATTTTCTCTAGTAAATAAATATGGATCGAGAGGGGGTTAAAGAGAGGGGGAGAAAGAAAGGGAAAGGGAGGGTGGATAGGGAAAAGGAGAGAGAAAGAGAGAAAGAAAAAAAAGAAGAAAAGAAATGGATATCATCCGCAATGCCTTTATGGATGAATTAGAATTCAACAGGAATGAATGTTTAATAACATTAGTCTTTGATGATACTTGAAAAAGACAATGAAGAAATGTCAGACAATAACAACTTTGCTTACACATTTAATCATGGAAAGACACAAATAACCTAGAGAATCAAATTCTTTGTTTGGTCAGAAAAATTGTAAGGAAGGAAGTTGGTGATTAGGCAAAGAAGAAGAAAGTTTATTTGAATAAACAAATCAAGTCTTCATGCAATGTTTATTTTGTCTGCTATTTCTTCAAATATCATTTAAAGATGATTTAGAGCAACCATCATGGTAACATTGGCTTCCTGATGAGGTAAAAGTGATACAATTTTATAACTTGTTGAGAAATGCATTCTGTTTTTGATCCTCACTCTTTACTAGAGAAACAATGTCAGAGTTGTAATGAAAATCAAGTACAATTAAAATAAAAGCAATAACATTAATTCATCAAACACTGGATGGGTTGATTTTGATATAAATTTATTACGAATATAGCAACAACATACTAAAGTGCTTATAACATTTATACACTAATGCCATTTTTACATTTCTACCAATTCCTAGTCAACTCCCTTATACTGAAATGCTTGTTTTGTAAACAAAACTCCATAGCCACAACAGATAAATTTAAAAATTCTAAAGAGTTCTTTGTGTTCATGTTTTTAAAAATCACTAAAGATAATGGAATGCAGATTTTATAACTGTTGTGTTGTGTTTATAATTTACCCCTGAAGATGATCGTAAAAAGTAAAAAAAATAAATAGACAATATGTCTGTGCACAATACTTACAAATAGAATAAAAACTTCCAGAACGATAATAATGAGATTAGAGTAACAGTTAAGGAACATTTTGAAGTGAGAAAAGTTTGACACAAACATTTTGATAGAAAACCAGAGTTGATTGCCAACAATTGACACAAGAACAAAAAAAAAAAAAAAAAAAAAAAGAATAGTCAAGAATGTAAAGTAAATAATCCATTCAAATTAAGGTTTGTAAATATTTGAAGCAAGCACAAAAAGATTTCTGTTAATATTTTGTTATATTCTGTGCTAATAGGAATATATACTTGAAAAACAAGGTGGATAAAATAAGTAAAGGTTTATGGTAAAAAAAACAGTAAAATAAGAATAAAAGGTAACAGTTATGCACAACTTCGTCGCAAGTCAATCCAGTAGTGAGTGCTACTATTGGAAGGTCAGTAGTTCTCCTGTAAGTCCGAGTTGTACTCAACAGATCCCAGCTAGTCAATATTTACTAGCACCCCACCCCACAAGGGTAGATGTGGCACAAAGCCGAGCTTAACATGGGTCATTCGATCCCATAGACTTGGTCAAAAATTCCCCATAGAGCCTGCATAAATGGGTTCTGATCTATCTACCTCCCTGGACAAGACTGCCCTTTGGCATAACCTTGTCTGGGTTCCTCTGCCCAAAGGCAGAAAGTTTGTCAGCACAGCTGGAACAGATTCCAGCTAGTAGATATTTACTTAAAATTTTCCTTTGCTAATATATTTCAGTTTTGAGACAAATATTTTGCTTCTGTTTATTTTTCTATTCACTGTCTGGTTTTGATCAGTTTATCGTTACAAAAAGTTTTTCATTATTTGTGAATAATGAAGTCGCTTAGAAAAGTTTTAAACTGAAAACAGAACAGAAAAATATTGGACAATTGTAATGCATACACAAAACACAGATTGTTCCTTTTTCTTTTCTACTCCAATTTTGGTACATCTGTCTGCCAGTCAAAATCAAACAATGATTGAATGTCTACAATTCTCTTGCTACAGTTTCACTTCATTTCCTTACATGTGTATGAATGACAAATCAGGTCATTGGTTACTTACAAGGTAAAACACAGATTCAACAGAAAAAAAAAATAAAAATAAAAATAAAAAATTTCCAACTTTTTTTCCTAAATGAACAATTGATCAAGCATAAATTGACATACTTTGATGCAAATACCAGTTGTAAAGTCAGAAGAAAATGCAACTTTAGAATTTTCATTTTTTTTTTTTTAAATAATAGACAGAGAAACAGGAAGATGAAAAAAGTTGCTGCAGGTTCACAAGCGGCAACCAATTGTGACATTCTTGTGTCAATAGATGACTTCCAGGCCATTTATCAGAGATCCTTTCATTAAAGACTTTCAAAATTAAAAATATTCACAAAAAAAGCTATCTAAGCTTTTTTTTTAGCCTATTTGACAAAAGTCAGGGCAGTCTTAATATATATCTTGTTTAATTATTGTAGATGAAAGTAATTTATTCTCAGTCTACAGACAGTTTATTTTGGCCTCTAATACTGTTCTCATTCAAATGATGATCACTTGAGCAATACATATATAAAAAAAAAAAAAAAAAAAAAAAAAAAAATCAATTTTACGTTATTTCTGTTTTTCAGTTTTAAAAGATTGTAGTAGTGCAAAGTTTGTGATGAAATAAAGTAATTTCTCTAGGAATTCCACACAAAAGTAAAAGAATATTTTAACTCTTGGAAACTTTTGTCAAGAGACAAAGGAAATCATAGAGAATTATTCTGGAAATTAACAGAATGGAAAGACATAAAATTTTGGAGAAATTCCCTTAGCTTATATTGCCATAATTTCTTAGATCATTTCTTTTGTTTCCCCTCTCCAACTCAATTCTATCTTGTTAGTTTGTGAACAAGTCTATAAAAATACAAAATTATCTTGTGTGGATGTTGGCAGTGGATCAAAAGAAATGCTATCCACAAAGAAGTGGATTAAAAGGAAAGATTCTGACAATTTATCTGTAACAGAATTCAATACAAAATCTGATAAGCTGAGGAAAAGAAAAATTTATCATACCATAAAAAAACTGAATGAATGCATTTGAGAAAATAAATTCATTTTTTTTTTTTTTTCTTTTTGCATGATAAAGAAGCACCATGCCTTACAAGTGTTTTTAAGACATATTGGAAAATGTTCTTTTAACAAATGCCATCATGAGCAAAGATTTATCATCAGAGTGTAAAGGACTTCTTAATTCATTTTCCTTCTATTTAGAAAATTCTTACACATTTTAGTGCCTATTTCAGGTCCCCTCAATCTAAATGAAACAAAACCAAAACTTGTTCAAGGCTGTCACTTCATCTTTAGACAATTTATAATTGTTTTTTTTGTTTTGTTCCTTTGTTTTTAAAGCAATTCATCTCAAGCAAGGTGGGAGTGCCACTAGCCTGCAAGGGGTTTCAGAGGATTGAGAACAAGACTAAAGAGGCGTGCTTGAGAAAAAGATACAGAGAAGGACAAGGAACAAGCTCAGGGTGTCAGATGTTGATTGATAGTACATTTGAAGATTATAGTCATTGGTGGGGGAAAAAAGTAAGGGGAAGGGAGTTTCACAGAGTGCGGGAGAAGAAGCTGTTTGAGAAGAGATTGTTACATTTAACTGTTTTCACAGTGAAAGAGTGGGATGGCGATGCCAGCCGGTAGATCACTTACATTCATACAGTCCAAGAACCAGCGAAAGTAGCTTGTTGGAACAGTTACTGTGAAAATACTTGTGGAAGAGACAGAGGAAGGCCACGGCATGTCTGCAGGATAGTGATTGTAGACTAGATGCCAGATCAGGACCTATCATCTTGCATATTCATCTCTGGATTTTGTCAAGGACCTCGAGACGTAGAGCGGGAGCACCAGATGATGTATAACAGCAATATTCCATGCAAGGACGGATGATTGATTTATAGATTTGAAGGATGGACTCAGACGAGAAAAACTTATTTACAAATAAGATAAAGTCTGCCATAAATAGGATTTAATAGATGGTTTGGTTAGCTTTCATTTCAACCCTGATTGGTCATTTTATGCCAACCATGTGAATACAGATATACTTTTCTCCAATAGTTGGAGGTGATCAGATTGGTAGCTACAATTTGTCTTAAACAGTTTATTCAATCTGTTAATCTGATGCATTTAAAGCAGCCTTCCTTATATACCAATACATAAACAGTTTTTAAATGAATTTAAAAATCCTTATTTCTTTTAGAAACTATATTATATGGTCAAGTGTGACATCTTTAAACAAGGTTTCCATATTTATGGCATAGTATTTACTATGTTTAAGCTGATAGCTTTTACATTCAATAAGAATGCGCTTAACTGTCAATTTATGATTACAATGGATGCATTGAGGTATATCTTCAGCTCTTAGGTGTACATGAGTTTGTTTTGTATTTCCAATATGAACTTCACCCCTTTTAGTAGTTTTGTCTTTTCCTGTTTGGTTGGTTTTTATAAAATTTGTTTTCTGAGGAATGTATCCCATATTGCTTGCCATTTGTTTTTTTTATACAGTTGTTAATTTTTTTTTTTAAATCTATATAGGGAATTTTTATATTAGTTATTTTCATGTAAGAGGGTTTTTTTTGTTTTTGTTTTGCTAGTTCAGCTACTTTCTCATTACCATTTGGCCAACATGACCTGGTATCCATGTTAAAACAATGGATTTTTAAAATTTCATCAGATTGTTATAAATCTCCAGCATGTCTGCAATGTAAGGGTGGTTAATTTTTTTTCTTCTTTTAGGGTAACCAGAGAGGATAGGGAGTATGTAAATATCACAAACTGATGCTCTACTGAGCTCCTTATAAGATCAAAGGCTATTCTCAGGGATTGGAGTTCCGCTGTAAAACAGATGTACCATCAGGCAGTCTAATTTACTTTTTGCTGCAACCACCCATAGCAGCAGCAGCTCCTGTTTTATTTCAAAATAATTCAGCTTGGTTTATTTTTGTTGATTGCATTTATTTTGTTCTCAATTTGGATACATTTGAAGTAAAATGTGATTTAAACATTTCAGTTGGAGCTGGTATATTATTAAAAGCAGAAATATACATCTTGGGAAGTTTAGTCGAAATAAGGGACATAACAAAATATAGACAATTTAATAAACTGCACTAAAATTAAGCTATGGTGAATCATTGTAACAAATATCAGCCATTCTTGTGTAATTGAGAACAGATGGCTGATGATTATAAAAGAATAAATCTGACCTTTAAACTTGACATAATTGTTTTGATTGAAAATTGGTAAAATTAGTTTCGCCTTTCTGTTTTTACACCACTTAAGTCTGACAATAACATTTAAAGGTTTTCTGTCATCATTTAAAAATGTTCCAACAAGTTTTGTAGGTTATCACAAGAGACTTTTGCTGTACGTTGATGACAAGCAAAAGGTACAATGCCAGCAAGATAAATCTCAGGGATCAAGCAAATTTAAAACCCTCTGTCATGCAGTCAATTCCAGAAGATATACAAAATTTAATCACATTTAAAGCTGCAAATGTTTGGTCAGAAAGAGAGCAAACAGGATTACAATACCTAAAATATTCTGATTTTTATCAATCTGTATACCAACTTCTTATAAAGAAATAAAGTTTACTACATATGAAAATATTATAAAGTAGTATTAAATTGATGTTAAAAATATGAAAAGTACAGTTGGTTGTAGAAGTTCTGATATCAATAGGGTTTCAATTTATCAGTTACTGGTATGTTTCTATATACAAATAAAAGATGAAAACACTAATATTTTGATTGAACTAAGAAACAACAATTATTTGGTGGCCCCTTGATGTGTCACATGTAATCCAGAGTCATTGTTAAATTCAGACAAGTGAAAACAATTTTAAGATTCTTTAACATCAACTAGTTCTGTCTTTTTGTTTATTTACCACCCAGTCAACCAAGTTTTTATACACACACACACTTTTCTTTTGAAATCTACAGATCATCTCCAAGAGGTCATCAAAGTTATTCCAGGAATTAAAGATCTTCTGGTATCTAAAGAACCTACTCTGCTCAATGGATAGAAATATGAACACAAGCTTTTATAAAACTATAGTTATTTTGGGTATTTGAGTGTATAAAAATGAATTTGTAATTCCCCAATATAAGTAAAAAATTTCAGCCTTGTCTATCGATTTACCAAATAATAACAGAAGAACCTCCTCATATCCAAGGTTTTCAATTGAATGTTAGTGTGACAGTTGATCAGTAAAATGCATTCACTTTAATGTAAAAATCAAGTGAAAGCAAATCAACAAAAAATGATTTTCTATTTTTTTTATTTTTATTAATCAAAATCATTTGGTCAAAATTCATGATGACAGATTTATTTTACTTTTTTGTCATTTTTAATTATTTGTTCAGTGGAATTCAATTATTGAACAACATTGTTTTTAAGTGGATGAGTAATTGTAGGATAAACAAAATTATTTACACTAATGACAAGAACCTCATTTCACAATTCACATTTAGAGAATGTGAATTATATCACATGACTAAGTTGAGGAGGGGGGGGAGTTGTAAAATTAAAGATTTAAAATTAAAAATTTCCCCTTTCCTCCAAATTGCACAAATGATATTTCCAAATTAGGAACATTTATTGTGTAGATTGCAAAAATTGAAGAGTGAAAATTAGAATCACTTCCTACAAGTGTCCAGTCATTTTAAAATACAAAACTACTATTCAAGTTTTTAAGCCTTCTTCCAAAAGTTGTTTGCACATGAAAAACATGAAAATTCCAAGAAAAATACAATTCCTAAATAGATTTTTGAATAATTTTTCAGAGAGAAAAAAAAAAAAAAAAAAAGTAAAAAAGAAGATAAATTAGATTAACATTTTAAAATAATTATATGGTTTTTAATGCCAATGTTTGCTTCTGGAGGAGAGGGTGGATTAAAAAAAACAAAAACAAAAAAAAAAAAAAAAAAAAAACAAAAAAAAACAAAACAAAAAAACAAAACAAAACCCAAACACTCAAAATAAAGAAGTCGGTTAAAACATTGTGTAAAACTTTGGTGAGAATTAAGAAGGGTCTTAAAGATAAACCAATGAAAATTCACCTGAGTATTTGTCTTTGCTGCTTATTATCTGCATTTCAAGCGAAGGCATCAGAAGTGGGACGGCAGGGATGGGCAGGGGGAGCACAACTCTCAAAAAACTTGTAGATGGAGGGTAAAGGAAACTTTCCCCCTTTTCTTTTTTTAAATATCAACAATAAATAAATTATGAGAGAATAGGAAGAGAGAATTATCTTCAGTTAGTAATCAAGTCCTGGTTAACTTTCAGATATGACCAGGTCAAAGAGGTGTAGGTGACAGGAGATGACTGCCGGGGAGGGGGGGGGAGAGAGATAAACTGACCTGAATATCTCAACCTATAAACATGACTTCATTCAAGGTAGAGGTAAAAAGTTCAGCTAACAAAACAAAGCTCTAAAAAATACACTTACAATGTTATAAAGTACAACACAGACTTTATATAAACAGGAAACACACACAATATATATATATATATATATATATATATATATATATATATATATATAGAGAGAGAGAGAGAGAGATTTTATATATGGCAGACACCCTGGTTCACACTGTATCCTCCAATGACAGTCATCCTTACTAAATGAATTTTGTTTCAGTTCCAATGACCATTCAAGTTCAGCTTAAGTGAACTGTCAAAGTCACTGATGGATTTCCTTGATAAAAACCAAAGCAAATGGAGGGGGTTATCTAGAGGTAAGGCTGAATGGGTTTTTGTCTCCCCTGTCCTCTCTTTCTCACCAAAAGATGTGGGTCACTAGTAATGCTTTAGGCCTTACATGAACAGAAATGTAGATCACATGACATGCCCACTAATAATCTAAGGTAGGAAGGGAAACAAGAGTTACCCATCTTAGCAGTAAATAAAAGTAGGCAACTTATCAAAATTATTTACACATTATCTGCAAAAAGAGGATTTAATGAGAAGTGGCAAATGTTTCATCCTAGTTATAGGCACCTCCACTGAATTTTCAATACTGAAGTTTTAAAATTAAATTTATAAATGAAAAAGCATTCTTGAAGATTTCATTTTAGTTTTAATTGAAAGCTAAATGATTAAATTTATTATTTCAAGTAAGTAAAATATTCTGGTGTATTTCAGATAGAAATTATATAGATTGGAATGTCAAATATTTGCTCGATTTTTTAAAAATTTTCTTAAAAGTGGCCATTTTCTTAATTTTTAAGAAATTTGTAAACAAACACAATTATCGGGTTTTAAATTCTTTAAAAATTAAATTATAGATTTGTGGCACCTTATTTGATTAAAATTAGAAAAGTTAGATTAATCTGATTTGAAATAAATATTACTTACTTATAGCATAAAAAACCAATATACAAGATTTCTTAACAACTGGTTCGTCTTTCTTTGATCTTTATTGATTTATCTAGAAGCACTTAAGGTGATGACAGCTCTTATGGATGACCAGAAATGACAAAAGTAAGTGAATGCATTTTTTTTTTTTTTTTAGTTTTTAACTACCTAGTAATTTTTACAAATTAACATATTTTCAGCATGACTTTTAGTTAAGTTTTTAAGCTTTATGAGATTTGCATTTCGTTTGTACTACCTTAAACAAAGAATTAAGTGAAGTATAACCCAAACTAAAATATATACATAAAATAAATATTTAGCGAAATAGCAATTAAGAAAAGTAAAACTTTTTTTTGATATTTTGATGGGATGATTTGCAAAGAAGTTACTGATGAAACAAAACTGAATTAAAAGTGAAATAATTGTAGTGTGTTAGACGACACTTAAATCATGCAACCTTTTTAAGGATTATGTAACGTATAGATTCTCATAGGTAGAAATTAGGAACGTTTTTTTTCTCACTAAAATTATTTTTAAAATATTTGAGTTCAAACGACTTATGAGCTTTTCAAATTTTGATTCATAAATTTACTTTTCTTTTAACGATATCAAATTGCATTTTTAAAAGCAATGAATAATTTCAAATGACTTTTGAACTATTATTATAATTAAAATTAAAAAAAAAAAATTCTTGTAAAAATACATTGTTCATTGAAAAAGTTTTATTTTTATTTCTTCAGACAACAATGTCCTTAATATAACTTATTTACAAAAGCAATTAAAAGCTTTTTCAATTAAATAATGTCATAGTTTTATTACATTTTTTATTTTACAATTCAGAGCAGATTTGATGAAACAGGTAACTGTTTTACAAAAAAATTGGTGATTTACTTTCTCCAAAGAGTCCTGTTTTTAACTAATAACCCCATGCCCTTAAAAATTTAATTTCGTGAAATTTCAAAAAATTATTTAAGTGAGTGGTAACATATGCTAAAAACTTTTTTTTTACCAAGATTTTCTAAAAATAAAAATTGCAAAAATAATTTAATTCATTTCTGAATATGTCCTGAAAGTTTCATTAAAATCCAGCAATTATTTGAATTTTGCAAATTAATGTGTGTTTTCCTCTGGAAAAGCGCAAAATAAAACAAACTTTTTTTTTTCTAGTTCACCACTTTCAAAAAAAAAAAAAAAAGAAAAGATTTTTAACCAAAATTTTGAACGTGCTAGACAGGGGTAAAAAATTTCAAAAAATAATAAAAAGAATACTTTGGTCTTTCCTCTTAATAATAAACATTTTGATGACAAAACTTTGTTTTTATTGAGTTTGGGGGTCTTTTTTCATCGTGCTCTGCTGTTTTTTTACACAACCTAGTGGATAAAAACAAAGTTTTATCATCCAAATCTTTATTATGAGGAAAGACCAAAGAAATTTTTTTTTTTTTTTTTACTATTAAATTGTATTTTTGGATCCTTTTTAGAATGTTTGAAATTTTGGTTAAAAGTTTGTTTTTCTCATGTCAGTGTGTGACACTAAATTAATATTAATCACAAATGAATAAAATTATTTTTGTAAATGTTACTTTTTTTAATTTTTTTTTTAAGAAAATCTTTGTAAAAATAACTTTTCATTTCCCCCAATAATTTAATTTTATAGAATTGAGAAATTCTTTTTTGTAGTGCTTCATGTTTATATTAGTTATAAAGGCAAATTCTCAGAGAATTCAAACCATGAATTTTTTTGTCAAACATGACCCCCCCCCCCCACTAGTTGCCAAAATCTGCTCTGAATCCTAAAATAATTGATATAAGAAAACTAAGGTCATACTTAATTAGAAAAGCATTTAATTGCTTTTATGAAGAAGATATAATGGCATTATTGTCCTAAGAAAATTTTTTTTTGGGATGAATAATTAATTTTTACAAGAATAGTTTTCATTTTTAAAAATATTAATTCATAAAGTTTTAAATCTTTTTAAATTCTTTATTACTTTGTAATGGTCAAGTGATATTGCTATAAAATTAAGACTTTGCATAAATGGAAAAACTTACTACAATTCAATGATCCCCTTCCAATGTTTTAAAAAGAATTTTGAATTTATTTTCTATGTGCTGATTTTTGTAATTATAGACATCCACATATGACATTATCAGAAAAAATGAGCAGTAACTATAGTAAAATTAAAATTTACTGAGAATTTTCTAACATTTCCTCAACAAGCATCTTTAAAGCCAAAATATGTAAAATTCAAAATTTGATCGCTTAGAATATTTTTCAATTTTCAAGATTACTTGGTAGTTAAAAAAAAAAAAAAAAAAAAAAAAGAAGTGTTCACATTATATTTGTCAAGTAATTGTTACACTTATGCACCCACCCCCTGGAAAAAATTCTCAAACATAATTCTATTGAGAGAGTTGTCAACACCTCATAAAAACAGCCATCACAAAAGCTTTTTGTGGTATTTTAAACTAAAAGTAATATTTGTTTCAAATCAGATTAATTAAACTTTAAATCAGTTTAAGAAAGTTTCAGAAAAATATTTTATTTTTTTAAAGATTTTTAATAAAGTGAATTATGCTGTGTTGACAGATTTGTCATTATGAATGATTTTAGCATTTTTATTGATGATAATAAACTAATTCAAATCAATTTCATTTTGAAATACAGCAAAGTATTTTGCTTATAAGAAGTATTAAATTTAATCTCTCAGCTTGAAATTAGAACTAAAATAAAAGCTTTAAGAAAGATTTTCCATGTTTAAAAATGTGTTTTAAACACTTGGTATTACTTTTCTTTGGTTGTACCTAGTTATAATTTGCTATTTGTTAAAAGGAAAACAATTTCTAATATAACCCACTTCATGTTCCCGACATTATGGAAATAATGGGGGGAGGGTGCAAAGAATTCTGCATGTCTGTGTGTGGGGAGGGGGAGGGAGTGTCCCTTATTCAATTGTATAGGCTGGATCAATAAGTTCAAAGCCTGACAGTTTTTAGCTGAGTTTTTCATTGTATAGACTGTTCAGTCTTCATATTCACCAATGAATGGCATCTACTGAGAAGAGACTATGTTGAATGTAAAAGAAAAAAGAAAAAAAAAAGGACAATTATTAAATAAATTGATTTCCTAATCTGCATCACATTATTATCATCACATGTAAAATGAATGGTTGCTTCATGTTTTGCCTTGTTGAATATCCCCACCTGCTAATCTCTCTCTCTCTGATACACACAAAGCTTTCAAGCTCATAGTCACTAGACAGAAGTTGAGCTTGATTCCTGACAATAATACTGGATTAATAAATAAATAAATAAATAAATAAAGGAAGCTGTGATTGTTTACTGCAAGAAAACAGTATCAAATAGTAAATCAGACATTGACCAACATGATATATTTAATACAACCAATACAAAAAGCTAGTAATCAAGCTTATATAACATTAAAATCCACAGACTAACAAAACTTGAGAGGCTAGTGACAGAAAACATTCACACTAGAAATATGAGGAAGGATAAAAAAAAAAAAAAAAAATCACATAAAAGAAAAGCAATATTCAAATACAAGTTCCATTCAAATGCCAATACAACTGAAGGAAGTAAAACCAAAAATTGAAGTTATAAGAAGAATATATATTTCTGAAAATTTCTCAAACAAAATTCCTTTAATGAACGGATATTTTGCAATGTCAAAGTCCATAGTGACAATGAAGTCAGGTACGTTAAGTTATGAACGAAGAGAAACTTTCACTTCAAGAAAAATGTTGTGGGAGATACTGTACTGAAAAATAAGACAGTGTCATGTATTATCATTTAGCAGTCACCAAAAATGTAGATGGGGTGTTGTTAAAGGGGGGGGGGATTGAAACGAAGAGAAAAATTGAAAGCATACAAACGTTTTTCAATTATCTGAATTAAATCCATTCTGATATTTCATCCCAGCCAAGGAAAATATTGAAGAGGAGATTGATAATGTGATATTGCCCTTGTTGAAGTTCAACAGCCCCAATTCCAAAATTCCAAACACCTAAACAATGATTATCTTGGAGAAATGTTTAAGTTGGTTGCACTTTCAATCAGAAGCTACCCTGACAAATACATCAACTTGAAGCAAGCTTCAGGAGTTAGCCACAGAAAAACATGAGGCCAGCTGAAAAGACAAAACTCATGTATTTTGAACAATTTAGAAGGCAAGATTATATTTAATTGTTCCCATTATTATTCTTTAATTGTGAAAAGAAGTTACATATTTAGTTCCCCATCGTAAAGAGAACAACAACCAAGATATACTAAAACATCTATATCCTCTTATCTCAGGCTTTATACACGATCATCAAAAATGCCTTTTATATTCACAATCCCATATGCAAGACAATTTCCTCTCATTTTTATAATTGTGCCTATCAACTTAGTGGGAGGGGGAGAGAAAAACTAATACAATAAAAAAAAAAAAAAAAAAAAAAAATTCAGTTTTGGAATGAAGATAAAAGAACTAGATTACTCATGATAGATATGTATAAAATTCATAGGAGCCTTTAAATTTAATCGCACTGTAAAAACCAAAGATATAATAAAGTTGGCAGAAGAGGTTGTCGAACCAATCATGAGAAAAATTTAATATTACTTTTATGCAATGACATGAGAAAGAGTTATCTAACACATGCCATACATTTCACTCTCAGTAATAAAAATAAAATAATGTTGGTTCCTTTCTACAAAACTAATCTCTTTCCCAAATTAAAAGAATGGAAATAATGTCATTTTCTACAAGAGTTTTTTTTTTTTTTAAAATCTATCAACAGTATTTCTTAATCCTAATGTAGAACTCATCCAAAATTCCAACCAAAATATGTCAACTGAGATGATAGATTTAAAATTGACATATTCCTTTAAGATCCAATTTCCTGTGTGATCAGCATCTTGAAACCATTTGATTAAGACTAAAACAATTGGTATAAGCAGGGACCAATATGTATCCAATGAAAATGTAGACATTTGTTCAACTCAAATTTAGTTGTGTTATTTATAAAATTGTTAGAGGATAAAAGATTGTACATCAAATCAAGCCTAGTCAAATTTAAATGCAATACCAATCATCATATTCTGTCCCCTTGAATCCTGTTCTTTTTCTTGTCCTCACTCCATAACATTTTCTGAGCTGCTTTTATTCTCAGTAACAACTTATGTCTTAGTGGCTTACTTGTGTGGCAGAGAAGTAACCCCCCCGCAAACTGAAACACAACTAAAAAGCACAAATGACTTCCTTTGATTTTTTTTACAGAAAAATAAACAACTTTATTTTCAGGATTCTTGATATTACAAAGAGGTTGGTTAAAGAAAACTTTATGTATTTATAGAAGAACAATTCAAATCTTTAAACACCAAGTAATGACACCCTCCATCACAATACACAATTTCCAGCTTTTACAAAGGATCATTTGCTAAATCAGGAAACAAATTCCAATTTATAAAACTTGTGTACCTTGCTTCTTTTTTTTTTTTTTTAAAAAAAATTCTTGACGTCAATGAATGGAGAAATTATAAAAAAATCTTTTAGTAATTACTTAGCAAATTTACTTTAACATTTTCATAATAAAATGAAAGAAAAAGTATAGATAGATTAAAGAAATCTGGACAAATATTAAAAGCTGTTTCCTACTTGAAAATTTTCGAAATTATCTCCCTTTGATTGAATTGCAAATATAGTAAATTATGTGACTCTTATTCCCACCCACAAATTAGGTGATTGATCAAAATAAAAGGAACCGTCATAATTAGTTATGATTATGAAATTTCATACAAAAAACGGCTCAGATCATATCATTTTGATAGCACTTAATGTAGTTTTTTTTTTTTTTTTTTAATTTTTTTATTTAAATAAAGGTTTTTAAACAATTTGTGCAAAGATTTATTTTGACCAATACCTATACATATAAACCAGAAAAATGAAGTGAGAGATTTGAACTTGTGACTTTAAGTAGCTTGGGATTCATTCTCAATTCAGATAACTTCTGAAAATATAAAACTTTAACTCAACAGAGATTTAGGCATTAAACTAAGCAAATAATTTACATTAATTTTCGAGAGGTAGTATTGTCTTAGAATCTATAAATTGCAACAGAATCTTATTATAAAACACAGATTGTGTGTGTGTGTCTGTAACGTTTATATATTGGATCGGATTTCCTACATTTTTCAACCGATTTCAACAAAACTTCACAGGACTACATAAAATTACCTTGTGGTGGTTCTAACAGCGCCCAAAATGGGAAAATATAATTGTCTTTGCACAAAATCAACTTGAAAACACGATTAAGAGACATCGTGGAAATGGAAGGGGGGACAACTCACATCGGATTTCCTATATTTTTCAGTTGGCAAAACAAAACTTCACTGTTTTTTTTTTGTAAAAATCATAAATTGTAAAAGATTATTATTACAGAAAGGCTACTAAATGAATAAGATTTGTTAGATCATAATTAATAAACCCAAATAAAGTTAATATTTTTGTATTAGAAACAGACAGTGGAAAATATATTAAAATCAGAATTCTAATTATGAATTACCACAAGCAAAATACTTAATTTTTTTACTGTAGTCAATAAGTAAAAAATCATAAATTGTAAAACTAAAAGATTACAGAAAGGCTACCTACATTTTTCAACCGATTTCAACAAAATTTCACTTTTTTTTTTTTTGGCATGTAGTGTTTCTTATTGTCTTGCACACTTTTTTTCTTTATTTTTACATTGAGAATGCTTTAAAAATTCCATTTACAAGACAATTGTTTATAAAATTATTCTATTCAATCGGGAGACTCATAACGATTGAAAACAATGTTTTTGTTTGAGTTTAGGTTTGACCAATTCGTAAAAAAAAAAAAAAAAAAAAAAAAAACTAATTAAGACATGCGTGTCTGTCAACCTTAAACACTAATCTTTGTCAATTTTATTTTTCAGTCTTTATGATGGTGGATACTTGATCTATCTCTTACTGTTATATGCCCGGGCAATGCCAGGCTCTACTGCTAGTAACACATAACAAGCATAGTGTTGTTATCCAATCAGCAATTAGTTGTCCACTAGGCTGGAAAAATGCTTTCCAAGGAGTCTCTCAGCAGTAAAACCTTCAAGCATTTTAATCACACACACACACACTTCACCCCAAGCAAAAGATAATGCCGCTAAGACAAGGGTTTATGGAGAGTGACAGAAAATGAGAAAACTTTATTGAGGAGGAAGAACAACAAAAGAACAGGATTCAGAAAGAAAGAAAATGGCAATTGAGGCTGCATTTAAATGTTTGAAGATCATAGTTGACAGGAAAGCAAGAGACCAGAATGGAGTTCCACAGGCGAGAAGTACAATTGAAAAAACTATTAGAATAGAACTTACAGTTACATCTAGCTACTTCAACAGTAAAATGAGACTTAATTGTCAATCTAGCACTACACTTAAATTCATGAGGTTGAGGTACCAAAGTTTAAAGCTTAGAACAATTGCCAGGAATATCTATAAAACAGAAGATGTCTGTGTGTGAGTATAATATTTCTGCACATCTACATTTCTTGACAGATTTTGATGAAATTGTACACACATGTTGCAAATTTACCAAGATAAGTCAAGACCAACTTTTCAATCTCCACCCACCCGGTTTGGCAGAAAAATCTACAAAATTGAAGGTGGGTATGACTTTTTGTCAAAACCGAAGCAAAGTTACACACAAGCCAAATTTTTACTGGATGACCTGATGTTTTTTTTACATTTAAAGCAAAACATAGCTCATGTTACAAAGTTTATGTAGAGTGCAGGTTTTCGGACCACTTAAAATAAAAACTTGAATAACTTCATTTTTTATTTGCCATCATGCAAGAAATAAGATGGTGTGATTTTAGTCCTGCTTGCTTCCCCACGCATAATGAAAAACCACAAAAAACTGTTAAAAAAGCTAAGTTTTTTTTTTTCCATAACTCCCTGGTTTTTCATCCAATGCTTTCCAAATTTGCCATGTAAATTACATATGACACACAAATTGTCTTGTGTGAATGTTTGTTGAGATTATTTTAGTTAAATGGACAAAATCTGCGACAAAATAGGTTCAAAATTGGCTTTTGCCATTTAGCCAACAGTTTCTTCATGATTCCATCCTAAATTGGCATTAAAGATTTCATCCCAGAAATCCCTGGATGTCTTCTATGAAACGCTTTCAACATTTGTCTTTGTAACGATGATGGTATAACACCATTGCATAATGAAAATGCACTAGTATTTCCAATACTATTTTTTCCTGTAAATTTTAGTTTATCCTTCATTTTCATTATGAAGAGGACATTTCTGCCTTAATTTTGATTTTCTTCCAATGTAATTGGCAGTTCTCTCATGGTATTATATAGTACGTTGCTTATTTCGCTTCCGGCCCTAATCACTGCAATTATCGTCTCTTCCAGTGGTTGAAATGAGTCAGTGACAGCTTTGATGTTAATACTTCCTTAATATGCTCAAATGCACTTGGACATTTTTTTTTTTGTCCAGTTCCACTTGACATCCTTCTTTAGTAGATTATTTAATAGTGCTCTCAACTCATTCATATTAGGTATGTAGGTATAATAGTTTGCAAAACCTAAGAATGCTTGTAGTTTAGTAATATTAGTTGGCATGGGCATATCCTTTATCGCACTTGCCCTTGCAGGATCTGGTCGTCTACTGGTTTCATCAATCTGCCATAGATATTTGAGTTTGGACATGAATAACTCACATTTCACTTCACTTATTTTGAAGCCATAATCTTTGATTCTTTCAAAGATTTTCTTTAAATCTTCAGCAGGTTCTTTTCAGGTTTTGCTTTTTACCAATATGTCGTCCAAATATGCCTGAGCACGACCCAACACAGCCAGCACGGTATCCATTATTTGCTGGAATATAGCTGGTGCAACCTTTACACCAAAAGGAAGATGGTTGAATTTATATAACCCTGTATGGGTGTTAATAGTTAGTAATTTTGAATACTCTTTGTCCACAAGTATTTGTATGTGTCTGAGAGATCCAACTTTAAGAAAAATTTACCTCCATTCAGTTTTGCAAAAATTTTTTTCTGAACGGGTAATTATGCTGTTTCAAACTTTCAATTTGTCCCGTCAAAAAATCAGCACACACTTGTATTCTGTTATTCCACTTCTTAATCCAGACTGTCAGTGCTGACCATTCAGAATAGACTATTCCTTGATATTGCTCCCAATTTCTCCAGCCTGTCCAATTTATTGTTGAGTGGATTTACAGCTGCAAAAGGTACACTTCTTTTCGGTTTAAACATAAACATTACATTTTCTTTCAAATGAAGTTTGGCTTTTACTTTCGGGCATGTATCAAGACCTTCAGAGAACACTTCTGAAAAAATCTTTTTCAGTTCACTTTATAGTTTTTCCATTTGCTCTATTAAAACTGGCAACAATATTTACATTATTACAAAATGAGTTAATAGGTATGTCCCACAGATCAAACAAAGCCATCCAATCTGTACCAAACAGATTAGTTGTTTTTCAACGCAAATACTACTGTTTTACTGGGGTTTTTTTTTTCGAATAAAGGCTTTGTTGGATATTGACATGGCCATTTTTGTTTACAAAGAAAAAAAAAAAAATCGTGAAAAAATTAACATGGGTTTAATCAATGTTGCACCTCGGGTTGATTCTAGAAGAATTCAAATTTGCGTTGGAACCTTGTTCCAAAGCAGTAGTAGGTGATTTCCAGCTTAAAATACTGGAAATAATAGTTGACAAGTGTTTATTTATAGCAACCATCTCAGGCGACAGAATGCACCTAGAGTAGCAAAGGGAGAGAATTCTATGGCGACTATTGTTGCCTGTGGTGTGATAAAAGTTAATTTGTTCATTTTTCTGCTGAACTCTGCTAATTTTTTGTAGATTAAGTTTTTTTGTCTGTTCAAGGAATCTTCATTATCACTTGTGATGTTGGACGGCTTCACTTGTCACTTTTGCTATGTCAAATGAAAGCTCGTTATCACTTTCAAAAATGCTAGTTATAGTCAAGATTTTGTAGATGCCGGTGCTGGTAGTAATACCTTCAGATGATATTCTCACCAGTAATACTGGTTCAAGTAGCAATTGCCAAATGATCAGAAAAGAATCATAATCCGTAGAGAGAGAGTGAATGTATAGCAATAGTGGATAGACAAGAAGAGTAGACAGTGATCGTAGGGTCATCATGTTATTTCCTATTTATTCACTTCCTTTATGATCATGTGATCTAATTTCAAACCACAGTGTCGGTAATAACACTTACTCTTATACAACACATTTGAACAATCTTTGATGCAAAGATTGTTTGAGAAGGATTATTGAAGCATTAAAAGGGAAAAATTTCCAAGAACCTCTTATTAACCCCAGCTTTACAGTAAATGTGAAAAAAAAAAGTTCATGTGTTTGTACTTGCAGTTGACTCTAGCTCTGATGCTTCATCCTTATTTTTGTTTCATTATTAGATTTGTGAACAATGCCATACTATTTGAAAGTTATTATTAGTCATAGGAAATTTACTGAATATCTAAAACATTGAAACAATTTAACCCTGAGCAACGACCAAACAAGGTTTTATCAATGGTATTCCTTTAAGAGCAATCAAAGATTTGCAAAGGACATACCATAAAAAAAAATGTTGTGGTGGAGAGAGTAGCTTAGCATACCAACGGGTGATGCATGCAAGCAGGATGCAAGCAGACAGGGGTGTGCAGTTATACAATTGCAGCCATCTACACCTGTGCAATGCTGGATACCTCAGCTAGTATATATATATATATATATATATATATATATATATATATATATAAAAAAGAACAAAATTTCTGGTTGAAATATATTGAGGTGCTAAAAAAAAAAATTAGACAATAACCTAATGCATAATTCCTCCCATTTGAATAATGGCAGCTATGCAATAAATCACAGAATCTACAAAAGGTCCTGGGATAATGTGGTTGTATCTACCCAATTATATTCAAGGGCTTTCAGTAATGGATTCATATTTAGTGGGTGTGACAGCAAATAATTTAGTGAGGTCTGCAACAGGTTCCCTACTCAATGGAGTTTAAATCTGGTGAGCAGGGGACCAATGGAGTATCTGGAAGTGTATTGGAACCATTTTTAGTGTCATCAGTGCACAATGGTGGTGGGGTAGAGCGCCTTATCTTTCTAAAACAAACAATCATCTTCATTGGAAAACAGGGTAAGCATAAAGGAGAGTGCAGATAGTCTGCAATAAAATCTGTGCATGTCAAAACTGTTAAAAGTAGACTGCAGTTACACTTGTGGCTCTTGTAAACTTCAACAGGCTGGATCTAGTCTCCTGCAAGTTTCCTGTCCATATATGAACTCAATGATCTACCCCTAAGGAGGTGTAGTCAGTCTTTTATGTTCCAAGGTGAGGTACAGTGGCCAATGTCATGATGTCAATCATGGCGGCTTTTGACAACCAAGAAATCCCAGAAATTTCAGAGTTATGTTGTATAAATGTGTAAATTGTCTTCTTGCATCACCAGTGAGTATCCAGTTTTTATATATTTACTCATGCCAGTGTCCAGAGTTTATAGCTTTATGGTATTTATTTAAGGAAAGCCTAAAGCAACTACCACCCCAGAGATAGAGTACTCGATTGATCTTTCTGTTTGCAACATTCCACAGCCAAACTGTTAAATCCTGATCTAATCTAATGGTTACCTCAGTTACACTACCTCTAAATGTATTTTGTTGTCCAGCCAAGTCCATTTTCCAAGCGGATGTGAGTGAAACCATTCAGTGGAACGAGAGAGAGAGAGAAAAAAAACTTGAAAAATCAAAGGACCAATAGGAGACATTTTTTGATATTTTATCAATCATAGTTTATTGTGACACAAAATGAGAAGAGAACGCATTTCACTAATAATAGCTTAAGGCTTGTTATGGCAAAGAACGATTTTATGATTTCATATTTTCTACATCAAGCATTATGCATAATAATAATAATAATAATAATTTGTTTCAGTTTCACTATGTAACAAATTTGTGAGTGGCTTTAATCAGAAAACAAGAACACAAGTCAGAATTTCATCATAAAATAAATAATGGAATTAGTGCAAAATGACAATAATAAAAGCCAAATTTATATTGTCAGTTAATTTGTTCAAAGCCAAAAAGGCTCCATTGTTCAAGAGATTTGAATGAATCAAACTCCTTGTAATTTTACAAATACAAGACAGTTTGAGTAAAGATGAAGAGTTGAAATGTTTTGTTAATAGAAGCAACTAATAAGGCTTGGAAAGAGCTGAAAAATAGGACACCAACTTTTAATATAAAACATTTTTTATGATAAGAATTTATTAAAATATAGAAATTTTTACAAGGTAATTTTATTGAATCAAAGAAACTGTTTCTTGTGAAACTCGTGTCAAATTAAAAAACATGACTACAATGGCTGGCAAATAAATTTATTTTATTTGTAAGCTGCACATAAATCCACGGTCAAATTTATTTTACTCTTACACCAGAGTCTTTCTGTGACATCAAATTAAGCTGAGCTATTGAGCTTCTAAAATGAGTAGATACTGATTACTGGGTCAGGAAAAGTAATATCTGCTGGTTCAGTGGAAAAAGATGAGCCATATCAGAAGGATGAATTAACAAGAAGATAACCTCTAGTATAGAGAGCAAAATGAGAAGAGTCTACCCTTGTGGAGTGAATCAAAGATTTATTTACTGGGAAACTACTAAGGTTATCAATCACAACAGACATAGATGGAGAGTACAATGGTTGAAACATCATAAAAACTAAGAAGAAGAGTCTGAGAAAAATCAATGTATAAGATGGAGTGGAGTCTCAAAAAAAAAAAAAAAATGTTTAGAATAGTTCCAACAGAAACTGACAACAATATATGAATATCTAACAATCTAATGTTTCTCAACAGATACTGAAATCTGAAGCTAATGGCACTTAGTTTAATCATGAAGCCATTGGACAATTCCAAAAGAGCAGAAATGGTGGTAGTAAAGGCATGGTAGATCTTTGTTAGGGAGAAAATCCATAATAATTGATGGATGAAACATGAAAAAGTGAGCTATCCAAGTGAATAAAATCATTCCTAGAATAAATAACAAGATTTAAACAAACCCTATTATTGAGAATTCAGTAGGGTCAAGGGTTAAATACAAAAGCTGAAACTGTTGAAAAGTTGCAGCATGAGATACAAAATAACCATTAACTTGTGAAAGCAACTGTTAACATTAGTAAACAAAAGTCTGTCATGTGTGGTGTCCCTACTTAAATGTAATTGTGCCAGTTGAAGAGCCAAGACAGGTAGATGAGATGGAAAGAGCCAAGACAGGTAGATGAGATGGAAAGAGCCAAGACAGGTAGATGAGATGGAAAGAGCCAAGACAGGAGATGAGATGGAAAGAGCCAAGACAGGTAGATGAGACAGGTAGATGAGATGGAAAGAGCCAAGACAGGTAGATGAGATGGAAAGAGCCAAGACAGGTAGATGAGATGGAAAGAGCCAAGACAGGTAGATGAGATGGAAGAGCCAAGACAGGTAGATGAGATGGAAAGAGCCAAGACAGGTAGATGAGATGGAAAGAGCCAAGACAGGTAGATGAGATGGAAAGAGCCAAGACAGGTAGATGAGATGGAAAGAGCCAAGACAGGTAGATGAGATGGAAAGAGCCAAGACAGGTAGATGAGATGGGAAAGAGCCAAGACAGGTAGATGAGATGGAAAGAGCCAAGACAGGTAGATGAGATGGAAAGAGCCAAGACAGGTAGATGAGATGGGAAAGAGCCAAGACAGGTAGATGAGATGGAAAGAGCCAAGACAGGTAGATGAGATGGAAAGAGCCAAGACAGGTAGATGAGATGGAAAGAGCCAAGACAGGTATGATGAGATGGATGAGAGCCAAGACAGGTAGATGAGATGGAAAGAGCCAAGACAGGTAGAGATGAGACAGGTAGATGAGATGGAAAGAGCCAAGACAGGTAGATGAGATGGAAAGAGCCAAGACAGGTAGATGAGATGGAAAAGCCAAGACAGGTAGATGAGATGGAAAGAGCCAAGACAGGTAGATGAGATGGAAAGAGCCAAGACAGGTAGATGAGATGGAAAGAGCCAAGACAGGTAGATGAGATGGAAAGAGCCAAGACAGGTAGATGAGATGGAAAGAGCCAAGACAGGTAGATGAGATGGAAAGAGCCAAGACAGGTAGATGAGATGGAAAGAGCCAAGACAGATGGATGGAAAGAGATGAGATGAGATGAAAGAGCCAAGACAGGTAGATGAGATGGAAAGAGCCAAGACAGGTAGATGAGATGGAAAGAGCCAAGACAGGTAGATGAGATGGAAAGAGCCAAGACAGGTAGATGAGATGGAAAGAGCCAAGACAGGTAGATGAGATGGAAAGAGCCAAGACAGGTAGATGAGATGGAAAGAGCCAAGACAGGTAGATGAGATGGAAAGAGCCAAGACAGGTAGATGAGATGGAAAGAGCCAAGACAGGTAGATGAGATGGAAAGAGCCAAGACAGGTAGATGAGATGGAAAGAGCCAAGACAGGTAGATGAGATGGAAAGAGCCAAGACAGGTAGATGAGATGGAAAGAGCCAAGACAGGTAGATGAGATGGAAAGAGCCAAGACAGGTAGATGAGATGGAAAGAGCCAAGACAGGTAGATGAGATGGAAAGAGCCAAGACAGGTAGATGAGATGGAAAGAGCCAAGACAGGTAGATGAGATGGAAAGAGCCAAGACAGGTAGATGAGATGGAAAGAGCCAAGACAGGTAGATGAGATGGAAAGAGCCAAGACAGGTAGATGAGATGGAAAGAGCCAAGACAGGTAGATGAGATGGAAAGAGCCAAGACAGGTAGATGAGATGGAAAGAGCCAAGAGATGAGATGGAAAGATGAGATGGAATGGAAGCCAAGACAGGTAGATGAGATGGAAAGAGCCAAGACAGGTAGATGAGAGAGCCAAGACAGGTAGATGAGATGGAAAGAGCCAAGACAGGTAGATGAGATGGAAAGAGCCAAGACAGGTAGATGAGATGGAAAGAGCCAAGACAGGTAGATGAGATAGAAAAAGAGCCAAGATTCCAAAATGGGGGCAGGCAGGGATAACAGGGGGGAAAGAGAAAATGGTTATGAAAACTATTCTGAATTAAAGTAGCGTCTTCATAGTTCTGGAAATAAGAACGACACAACAATGGTGATGGATAATTTGAGAAATTGGTAAACAGAATTAGGAATGGTAGCTACTGCAAGTTAAAGAAAGATCCAACTTGGGAAACCAAGGGGAATCTGTCACAGATCCTAAACAACAAAGATCACGGTGTCGAATTAATACAGGCAGTTAACTCAATGTGCAAACTCTCCAAAATTCACTAAGGCCTATAGCCAGTTGCGGTTCAGCATAGCAGATATAGTCAATTGATTTACAGGTAAGTCTATCATACCTAAAGAACTCTACTGAATTTGTGGAGAGTGAAGGGAGGCCTCTATTCATTCCAACCAGTATTTCAATAGATAAGTTCATGTAAATGATCGCGCCCTGTGTAAAAAACAAAGAAAAGAATTTCCATATTGGTTTCCGACATATCAGCAGAAAGAATGCCTGGCAGCAACAGGCATGGCATTATCTCCAGTTATAGCAAACATATACATGAAAGACATGTTTTTCTTTTTTTATTATTTTCACCCCAGCCACTAACACGCAAGGGATTACTGAGAGTGGAATAGTTTGAGAAAAAAAAAAAAAAAAAAATAAGGAGAGAGGACAATAAAAGAACAGGATTAGGCGAGTCAAAACAAACATTTTCAAGAACAACATCCTTCAAATGCACTATATGGCAGAAATTCATATTTTGACCTCACCAGGAAGATATTTAAGTACTGCTAGGCCATGTGAATTCTAAGATTTTCAATACAGCTCACAATGGAAGAGAAGATAAACTGACCTTTCTGGATGTGCTAATAATTTGCACAGAGTATGGGTTAAAGACATTTTGTAGGTGAATGTTGGCACTTACAAAATACCTGAATGTCAATTCCCATTAGTCATACAAGGATCAGCCGCTGCCTACAATATTGAACAAAATGTAACAGATACACAACAAAAAAAGTATAACATTTTTCAAGAAGTAAAATGTAAGGATTGAGGACAATATTTGGAAAACTGCTGTTGGTCTGTCCACTTTATAACAGAAAAGGTTCACAAGATTTATAGTCTGTACAACATCAAAACCATATTCCAAAGTCTTGCAGAAAACATGACCAAGAAAGAATAGCATATATATTCCAATTTGTGTTCTTGTGGCATGAAATACAAAGGCAGTGCAAACACTGGAGGAACATTGGAAAGCGATAATCTGGTGGAGAGGTGATGAAATCTGGTTTCATGTGTGGTGGAAAAACGGGTAGGTACTAACCCTAGCGAATGATGCCAGAATAAGAGAGAACACCAGAAAATCAGGTGGCTGAAAGAATCCGTACACTTGCTAGGCTCTAATAACTTCCTCAGCAGGTCTAGCATAGAAATAACCTGCTTATGGAGGTCTTTAATCAATGAAGAAAAACATTAGGCCTGAGAGTAAAATATTCACCTACTGACTTATACTACAAGGATTGTAAAGTTATGCACTTCAGTTGGAAAGTGGTGGACAAGTAACATTAAATTTAAGACACTAAATCATATATTCTGGTTCAGTGTAAAAAAAAGATGATTTCATAAGGCAAAAGTAAGAACAGATACAAAAGGAAGGTGAATAATCTACCACTGTAGATTGAATAAAAAGTTAAGTTCAAAATTCTTGGAAACTTACCGACAGACACCTGAAGAAGGCAGTGAGGTGGGAAGGCAGTTAAAGAAACAACATGAAAACTAAGATGACGACTATTTCAAGCAAGTCAGTGTATAGTTCCTAACAGATTCTGGTAAGAAGACACACATGGATAGTAATCAAGAATAAGTTTTAGATTTTGCAATATTAATCTACAGGGGAGGCATTGTAGCAACGATTGATTGTATATCAAAGTTCAGAATGCATTTTAGTAAGAAGTTAGAAAATTGAATTAATTTTCTAACTGATGATGGCTTTGGTAAATTGTGTCAAGTCTTGTTTATTTACAAAACCAAGTAAGAGGAATTACAGGGAGGACAACTGTGATGCAACAGTCTTGCAAGTAGTTGGTAATTCTCTGATTTCCCTTTCTGATAGCTGCACATTTCATTTGAGCAATACTTCAGCCTATACATATTCTTAGAAAAATCTGGGCTTGATTGATGATTTAAAGAATAAAAGTTTTCAAAATATTTGCTTTGGATATGAGAATAGTTTTTTTTTTATTTATTGCAACAATTTCAGATTTATCTTTCCAGAAGGTTTGCAGAAATAACAATTCTGCAATGTTATTTTCCTTTGGAAACGTAAATAAGCTAAAATGTTTTCAAGAAATAAAGGGCAAAAGAAAGCCATGAGTATAGAGAGGCAAGCAAAACTGCACAAAGTTCCTCCTTGTCCAGTTTCTAAGAATTTAATTTTTATGAAAGATAAGCAAGTTACTGGTGGTAACTCAATTTCCTCAAGAGAAATGGAGTTACCGGTGGTAACCCACTTTCCTCAAGAGAAATGGAGCAGGAAAATGCATGAAAGATTTTATCCAAATTGACTAAATAACAATGTTGAAGGCAGACAAAGCAAAAAACAAGGGATGTTTCCAGGCAAAAAGAAGAGATGCTTTTATTTAATTTAAAAAGATGAAAAGAATTGCCTACTTGAAAATCAGAGAATTAGAAATCAGAAAAATTAAAATTTTAACAGTGCTAAATTAAGGAATTATTTTTAGCAATTAAACATAATTATTATCAGAAAACATTAAAAGAAATAAACAAAAACTCAAGAAATTACGACTCGAGTTTTTGTTTAAGATAAAATATTACAAATAATAAAGTTTGCAATCACCTCATTGAGTGAGAGTGAATAGAAAGGATTTTATAAAAAGGTTTATGAAGAAAAAAAAAAAAAGGTAGAAATCTGACATTTCAAAAAACTCAAATGAATGACAGTCAAAAAGAATTCTTTACTTGCTGGACAAAAGTCTGAAAAAAAAAAAAAAAAAAAAAAAATTTAAAATCTTATGGAAAAAATTTTTTTAGTTTTAAATGTCAAAAATTCAATGTCTATTAAAACAGCTACAGTTCCCAATTGATGATGAAATATGTAAGCTTTTCTTCATTAATCATGGGGAGAGAGGGAGGTAACAGATGAGGAAGAGAGATTACGGAGAGAAGCTGACAGAGACATAGGTGGGTCCACTTTAAGATGAAGAGGCCACAAATAAAAGGAGATGAAATCATTTGGTATTGCTTAGTAGACTTTCATGTACAATCACTGAGGTGCCAAAAAGAGTAAATTATTTTTCTCCTGCTTCACACCCTCTACTAAAAAAAGACTGCCCGTGTGTGTGTGTGTGTAGCAATAAAGTATGAGGTACATATTTTTACTTTTAAACTTCAAACTAAGCTGTATATCAACGATTTTACAAGCACAAAACTAATCACAAAGCAAACAAAAGGAGTAGATGTCTGTATTCTATCAAAAGAAAAAAAAAAAATTCAAATAAGATGAAGTCAGAATTCCATGACATTATGGAAAAATAAACTGAATGTAAATGAATTGACTGCATTTGTGTTTTATCACATTAAATGATGATATTCACAAAAGCTCTTTCTAAATTCCCACAAATTGTTGGACACGCAGACATGCATGATGTCTAAGCATTACATCTAAATGAAAAACAACTAAAAGCTACCAGACTGGAAAAAGAAGAAGTAAACCTTGAAGATTTCTTAGATAACAAAGTTCAATTACAAAATAAAAAAATTCACTGCACACATCCAGACAACAATGGATGAATAAAGAGAAATCCATAGCAGATTAAAAATAGAAACAAATTAATAATTGTCACCCTCCACCACTACACACACAAGAAAAACAAAAAACAGACAAACATTTGAGCAGGCTAAGGTGTGGAAAAACCAGAATCAGAACACACTGACAGTCAGAAAGTTCTGTTGTCAGTAATAATAATAATAATAATTAAAACTATTCCCTTTATCATTGTTGTTGTTGTTGTGTCCCATTATGACAAGCAGTAAGCACCTTAAATTCAAGTTGTAACTGCCAGACAGGGAGGAGACCGTATTTTTAACCAGAAGATATAGTTAGCCTTGAGCTAAAAACAGAAGCATTGTGACATTCAGGTAATGTGAAGAGGTCATTCCACACAGTTGGTTGTTTTTTTTTTTTTTTTTTTTTTTTTTTTTTTAACAGACAGAATAATATTAAATTCCAAAGGCTGATCTAAACAAGTTGATCAGGTCTCCTCCAGACATCAAACACAGTTTGGCTGCTACTGATTTTCAGGACTATGCAGTTGACCACAATTGAGAAGAAAGAAAATTAACATCTTCCTATATTTTTTATACATCTTGCTATTGTAGTGTGTGTGTGTGTGTGTGTGTGCGCGCGCGCGCGCGTGTGTGCGCACACACACGTGTACACATGCACTGCAGACTTTTTTTTTGTTTTACATCTTAACCCTTTTGTGGATTATTTCAAACTGAAACATTTTGGATTGTAAGTATAATAATTCTATGCCCACTGCCCCAAGTGAATATGTAGTAATAATTTTTTGGAGATTGTGATTTTTCCATGTCTACAAGTTCTACTATAGCTGTTGAATTCATACCTTTCCCAAGGGTATTTGCACATAAGTGAATTGCTGAAAGATTTGGCTAAGATATTTTACCATAGAGCAAACATGATGTGTAGTGATTTGTTTTTTTTTATCATTATTATTGTAGATTAATAAATAAAAATAGTTATGTATGAATGAGAAAAAGGCAGGATATTGTGATTGACAGACTAACTATTGCTGTCAGGCATTCAATATTTTGAATTGGATAACAAATTTAGAATTCATGGTTTCTGAAGACAGATTCCATGTATTTTTTTTTTGTTTCTAATGGCTACTGGCTGAGATAATCACTTCCTATTTTCCCCAATTTTGTATGGAAAATAAAAATTCTTTAGTCATTAAAAGCCATAGATATAATTCATTACTGAACTGCATTTTGGATTTGATATTTCAAAATAAAATTTATGCAAAACATTTCATGTTTTTTAAGATAACTTAAAGGAAATGGAGAAGAAGCAAAATCTTTGTAGGTCTCATTAAAGTTAAGAGTCATTCTGATGAACAGGTATTTGTTGAGAATATCAGCTTTTGGAGTTTACTGTGCCATCAATATAACCCATAGACTGAGTGATGCATCACTTCATTTCTCTCCAGACTTGTATCAATATGAAGATTTCTACTCTACTTTTAATGCAGATATTAAACAAGTTTCTCCGGTATGTTATGATTGTTTTTGTCTCTTTAAACTGTAGAACATCAGAGATAACACAAACAATCAAGAATGAACAGTTATTCAAGAGATTTTGCTATGAACAGCTTTCAAAGAGGCTATATGAACCTGATGATCCATTTGTTTAAGTGAACAGCTGTTGCTACTATTGCATTATTAAAAGCATTAAATATCTGCAGTGAGGCAAAGAAAAAGGTATTTTTTTTCTGCACACCCGTAGATAGAATTTGAGTTCAGGGAATGTCAAAATTTCAAATGTTGATTTTCCAGACTGAATAGGCCCACTTGGAAGATTGGTGCTAAACAATCTTCTTGTATGACATTGTACCAGTCTAATTTAAGACTAGTGATCATACAATAGTATAAGATCTTTTTACAGCAAGCTGCTACATTGGGGAAATGGAGCATTATTGATTCAAGTTTTCCCCCCAGATAATTATTCATGTCTGTTATTGAGCAAATTACAAGTACAGCAAATTCTAACATATAATTGGCTAATAAATCTACCAATCAACATCTTGCTTACAAACTCAAGTCAGTGCGATCATGCTACAACAATGGTAAATGTCACAGCAGATGAACAAAACTGTTTCTTTGAATGAATTCAATAGTTTTTGCTTTAGCAGATTGGCAACAGCAGCATCAAGTGAATTTACTTGGCAAAATCAGATCCTTCAAATGAATTTCAATTTGCATAATTAGAGAAAGCTGGATTGAAATATATTTTCCATCCAGCTGTCTTCAACAAACTGGATGATGCTTTATCAAACGCAAATAGATCAACAAGGAAAATGGAAAACTCCCCCCGTCCCTAATTTGGTCGCAGACCAAACTGCATTCTCACAAATTGTATGCTTGTAAAATCTGTAATCTCCTTACAATAAAGGAAGACATTAATCCTTCAACATGTTATTAAAACAAGAAACATAACAGCTGAAATGCCATAGTAGTGATGCTTAGGAGAGAAAATATTTGTCAAGATTTATTGCAAACATTCAGTTCATTTCTCTATGTCTCTAAGACTGACAAAATTCCATAATTTGAAAATCTTTATTTTCTGTAGCTTTCAACATTCATACACTGACTAAAGATTGTATTGCAATTGAAAAATCTCAAAAAGTAACAAATACAAAAATGAAAATTTTTGCCTTTTCTAATCTGAAAATTAATTCTTACATACAAAAAAGAACAAAATATGGTTACTCTTCTAAAAGACAAAAATATGAGCTTTACAATGGAGAAACTGAAAATTTCAAAACACCATGTTTTCTCAATGCCTGTAAATGAATTTGAATCCAGAAGAAAAGAGAAGGAAAAGTAATTCAGCTCCTTAAAAACAACAACAAAAAAACAAAACAAAAAACAACCCCCCAAAAGAAACAAAACAAAACAGATCAACTCTAATCAAATGGACAGAAATTGGAGGTCAGTTCTGTTTCAGCAGTACTGAACCACCTTCAATAATCTCTCAATAAAACAGCAAAGACTTTCAGTATAAAGAAGAAAGTGTTTACTACTAATTGTTTAGTTGAGGAGATACACATCATAGAAGACAGTCATTTCAAAGGAAATTCATTTTTTTTTTTTTTTTTTTTAAGGAGAATGTATCTATTGTTAAGGAAAGACAAAAAGTCAATTACTCAGCTAAATGGTAGCACTCTCTGCTCAAAAAAAAAGAAGAAAAGAAAAGAAAAAGTATGAGATGCAGAAAAAAAAAAAAAAAAAAAAAAATGAGATGAGCACCCCACCTCCTCCTCTAAATTACAGACTCAGTTCACAAAAGTTGTTTGGTTATCAGTGAAAAAACCAATGGATAAAAAAAAAAAAAAAAAAAAAAAGTCATTGAAAAGTTCCGATAAAACTTTACATATTTATTTTTTATGGCTAAATGCATTGAAATATTTTGTAATAAAATATTAGAAATTGTTAAAGAAAAAAAGAAAAAAAAGAGAGAACCTACACACACACAATTTCCTCTCAATTGTCATATGGAATCACCAGCTATATAATCTGACCCTTCTTTGAGCCCATTTTTTTGTTTTTATTTCCTTTAAAAGCTAATTTACTAACAATAAAGTAGAATACAATTTAAGTGTGTGTATGTGTGTGGGGAGTTTGAACATCCATCCATACTATGATGGTATCCAAATGTAACCTGTAGTAATTTGTCAGTCCTATTCCTGCATCCATTTCATTGAAGAAAAAAAAAAAAAAGAAAGCAGATTCAGCTGAGCAATCAAAAATTTCTTTAATGGCCACTTATTTTAAATATATTATTTTATTAACCAAAATAAACACAGTAATAATTGATGTAATAGAAATAAAAATACTGACTATTTCAGTTTAATTAAAGAAAATTTATATTTTTGGGAAAACTAAATTTAGACTATTTTCCTAAGAAAAAAAAAAAAAAAAAAAAAATATATATATATATATATATATATATATATATATATATATATATATATATATGTGTGTGTGTGTGTGTGTGTGTGTATGGATGGATGTTATTCAGTATCAAACAATTTGAGAAAAACCTTAAATAAATTAAAAAAAATCACTTTTCTCAAAAGACACTAATTTTTGATCAGATATTACAGTCTATGCTCTAGAAATCTAAGTTTTATAAATGCTGTGTATGTAAAATTGAAGATGTTACCTTGTATTTTTGATTTCTTCTTTTATTGAGAGTTTCTCCAAATTCTGCTTGATTCTTTTGGGAGTCTACAGAAATAGAGAGTTGAGTTTTATTTTCAGACTAGAATTGTGGCAATTTCTGATCTTCCCTATTTGTGAGCAGATGGTAAGCAATTCCGATATTGGGATTTTTCGGCAAAAGAAAGTCAGGTAGAAATAGCAAGAAAGGAAAAATGGCTTCATAGTAGCTGATTATATATATATATATATATATATATAATCTTTCACAAAGAAAACATCTGGTCTGGAGTGAGTAAAAGTCAAGTGAAGAGAGTAAAAGTTAATTACCTGGTATATTGAAAGTATTTTCATCAACTCCAGCAGGGAAATCCGTGTTTGGTACTGTAGTTGCATAGTCATTTAATGGTGGGAAGCTTTCCCTTGGAGGAATCTCATTGGGCTGGTGTCGAGGAACCAAAACCGGGGGAAGAACTGCAGAAAAGAAATCATTGTATATGAGTGTAGTACGAGACCGACAGAAAGAAAGAGTTTTCATGGTTTTTCTGATAGGAACAAGCAGACTACAACTATGGCACCAACAATGACAAGAGGGACATGACTAATGAAGACTTGCAACTTTCTACTCACTCTAAACAATTATCAGTTCTGTGATAGTTGACTTGTATACATAGCCCCACTCCCCCCAACCAACCCCCCAGGTGTTGATTGGAGACGCACTGAATTGAGCTCAACAAAATAATAGGACGACACTATTGAAAAAGAAACAAGCCAGCCAACAAACAAGATATAATTCTTAGTGCAAAAGAACAACAAATAATGTTCTGTGTGTGTGTGGGTCTGTGTCCAGGGAGGTGGCGGTGTTGGGGGAGGGGGAAGGTAGCTACCTTTTACAATGTACAAGAATGGTTAATTATAAAGCTTGTTTTTTTTCTGCCTCTTTTACCGCACCCCCCGAGTCATGATTATACTGTAGTTGATGTAATCCATTTGTTTTAACTGTATAAGGCTAAATAAAATGCTATATAATAAAATAACAAATATGCTAATATAATAAAGGCGACAACGTTTTGCGTTAATTTCAATTCCAGATTAGGTATTTTTGGGTGTTATTTTGTTTTTTATTTGATTGACAATTTATTTCTGCTATGGCTGATCCTATTTGAAGCGATGAACAAATAGCAATAGCACCTTTGCTCAAAAAAAGAAGTTTTTTTTTTTTCCAAACTCAAGCGGCACTAAGAAGAATGAAATTCCACTAACCTGAGAGACTTGCAAGGTTATCTACAATGTTAATATAGGAAATTCTAGATGAGTGAAAGGGGGGGGGGGGAGAGAGAGAGAGAGAGAGATTTGTCATCTTAATAAAACCAAACTTTTATTTTGGAAGATTTACCTAATAACAGTCAACATCAGAAGTTATGAAGAGGCAATTGAATAGGTGTAAAAAATCATGAAGAGTTTGAATAAATTATTGTAATATACTTGCTTCATACATCATCTGTAACAACTGGAATGAAAAAAAAATGTCTTTGCCTTTGACAATATAGGAAAAAAAGGTATCTCTTTGCCATTCCCAAATTAAATTTCTCAATGGAAGTAATATAGATATTTATCTAAATTCCTTAAGAATTTACCCGTTACCATTCAATTTATTTTCTAGGCGGAGAACTGCAATAAAATCCAAAACAAACCTAAGTAGTAATAGTGCTGCACCAAAACTATTTAACTATTCTAAAAGAAAGATATTGGTTAGTTTTAGAAATACTGGAAATGTTTAGAAAAAAAAAAAGAGAGAGAGAAAAAGATCACTACAGACAGGAGATCCTCAACATTTTAAAAGTGCAATGATTTGATTAAATGAAGAGGAATAGACAAATGCTTGCAATTTGTCACTGAAACTGAATGATAGATTGTTGTTGCTGCTGTTGCAAACAAGATCAAATTTTCGCTCGGAGGGAAAAATTCAGAAGCTCTCTGAAGATTTATTAATGAGGAAGAAAAACAGTGTTTGATAATATCCACTTTTAGATTTTAAGTTCTTTTTTGTCAGTTATGAATAGAAAAAAATCTCTACTTAAACCTCACTAATAAAATACCTTGCAAATATGGCACAAGGCCTAAAAAAGGGGAGCAAGAGTGGAAAGACACGTCATTGTAATTTTATTTAACCTAACTATTCACAAACAATGACCTAGTCATGCAATAACTGTCCTTTTACCAAAAATTCACATTTAAATTTATTTGTACTTCAGTCACCATAATGCCACAATTTCTTTCTTTTTTTTTTTTTTTTTTTTGAGAAAGAGAGTGGAAAGAGAAAAACATTTAAAAAACATTGATTGTTAGTATTAGCCACCAACTCCCCAACTAATTGCACCAGCAATAGTAACAAACTAACCCCCCATAGAAAAAACAAAAAATTGTAATAACTCACACAAATATGCACTCTTTCAGACACTGACACACAGAAAAAAAAAAAAAAAAAATGCAGCGGAAAGCTTCTTTCACCCACTGAAGAATTGAAATCTGTCACCCAATAGGGGAGGGGAGGGGTTATGGAATTAAAGAAAAAAGAAAAGAATAAAATAAACAGGCCAGATGAGTCTACATACTCTAGATAAAATACTAAGACTAAGTAAACAATCATTCCTAACCATAATATAGGTTAACATGAACAATTTAGAGGCTTAAAATCCTCTTGTTTAGCACATATCTAGATGCCACTTCAAAGTCAACAATTTTTGCCTGACACAAACATGCAACTTTCAAAGATAGCCACAGCCTTTTTGTCCTAATTTTGACATTAAGCTGAGGTTTTAACAAAATTAGTTGGGAAGAGGAGCATTTCTCAACAAATTCCTTGTCATTTCATATCACAAGTCATAATGCTGAGGATGCACAAGAACACAGCTTTTATTCCTGTCACGAGGCATTATTAGAAGAAAAAAAAAAAAAAAAAAAAACTGGCCTCAACAATAAAGCACTTTCCATCCAGTATGCAAATTATGCAATACCCAAGTAATATGCACAATGGATGACCAAGGCTGCAAGAACGCACTTTCAATGAATTCTCCTCCCAATCATCACAGCACATGCATCCTAGTGATATTGTCAGTCTTGCTAACAGAGCCTTTGTACTTTGCAACAAAGTGATGTTTTCTCACTGAGACATTTCAACTAGGGTATTCAAGGCTATAGAGTGATGCTCCTGTTAATCTAATCATGTCAAACAATCCTCATGACTAATATATGATACAATGACTTCTACAACAAAGTTTAGATGTTTGAGGGACCATCCTTAAGCCATAAGACCCTCAAATCATTACCTATAGAACAAGCAGCAAAAATAATTTCTCATTTACAATATATCCATCTGACTGTACATTTTTACAACAGGTACACCAAGTACACAGGTTATTTCAAACATCAACAAAAGAGGCAGAGAGATTTCAACACTTATTTTGTTAAGTAAAGGAAATCACATTATTCTAATTCTCCAATAATGCTGCTCGGTCAATTATTTAAACTTTATCCCATAGAGGAAAATGTGTACCATTCTTTTAGATGTAGTCTACTATATCTGGTTTTTCTTTCATCTATAGTTATGACTGCGTTCCTTGATCTATCCTGATCTCGTAACACTTACGAACCCCCCCGGCTCTGTTCAGCCATCCCTTTAACAAAGTGAGTAGCACCTTCCAGAGTAATAACTAAGATCCCTTAATATCTTTCCCCCGCTTCATTTGGTCATTGTTGACAATTTGTGCTCAGTGGTGAGAGAGATTTCTTCAAACAGAACAGGTGGTTGCAATCAAAATTCAGTTCAAACTTCATATAAACATATTTCTTTTTTTGTACATGCTAGATCCTTCTTCTCCTCCCATGTAAGAAAGACAATCCAAAGAGGATGTTATGGCATTCTTTCTCCATTGTGAATTGCATGGGAGATCAAAGAGGTAAAAATGTGACTTGAATGTGAAAAAGGATTTGTGCAATTTATGAAGTAGGTACTGCAAATGACTGAACATGCCAAAAATGGTTAGCAAAGTTTTGTGCTGGAGATTTCTCAATGAATGATGTTCCATGATTGGGTAGAACAGTTCAGATTAATTGCAAATCAAATGAAGAGATATTGAGATTAATCAATGAAGATAGGCAAGATATTTAGAATATCTGTGAAACAATCAGTGATGGTCATTTGTGGCAGTTTGATGATATTGCTCCCTTTTAAGTGGGACTGGCATAAATTATTTAAAAGGAACAAAAAAATTAAAGAAAAAGTTTAAAGTGAAATGAACTGTCACTAAATATAGACAATTCTTCAAAGCAGTTGTTGTGTCTATCATGGGATTTGCTCCCAATGAAACCAAATGAAGATGGGAATGAATTAAAAAGAGTTAATAAGATTAATGTGAGATGTTTCTTTGGTGGCCAGGCAAAAATGGTTTGTTTGGCTGGGAAATTTTGGTTCATCTACCATATTCAAAAGATATTGCAACATTGGATTACCATTTTTTTTTTTTAGTCTTTAGAGAATTTACTTCAAGAAAAAACAGGTTCTGGGAGGATGGAATTACAAAAATAGCTAGGAGATGGTAAATATATTGTTCATTAAAATTCATTTTTAAATTAAATTTGTCTTATTTTTTTTTATTAAACTGAGGAAAGCTCAAGATATTTTTTAATTTTAATGCTAAATGAAATCCTACTACCTCTGAGCATCTAATCATTGTTTCAATAAAAAGATCTTCAAAATTTCTATGATTCTCTTGCTTTTTGTTAGTCATAGATTGTCACTGAAGTTGAAAAAAGAAATAATCAATGATTGAGCAAAAAGAAAAGAATGATCTCTGAAGATATTTTATCCAAGAATTATCAGATAATAGAGAACTTACAGATAATTCTTAGAATTTACCAAGTAATTAGGCTTGAAAATATAAAATGCTCAGCTTCTATTTAAAGGTTATTTCTCTAGAAGACACCAACATTCAGATTTAACAAAAGAAAAACCAAAAAGTTATAATCACAGCATTTCTTTGGAGTTTTAACAGCTACAATCAATTGGAGGAAATGAAGAGATATGTTTAAGAGAGTATTAAGGGCAACAAACATTTGCTTAACAGATTTTATTATTCATCAAGTGATTTATTTTAAATTATAAATAGCACAGTGATAAATGAAAAGTTTAGGGATTTGCCTGAAATAATGCCAATGGCAAATTTACACACATTCAGACGGCTTCCAACATTAATAATTATAACCTGTAGATAAATAAAGCTTTAAATGAAAACTGGTTTATATTAGAATCCAATTGAAATTAGTTTTTAATTTTATAAGTTTGCTTTGTAAAAGTTCTAATAATTACATTGATTTAGAAATTGATTAAAAAGCAGTAGCGAATAAAAACATCAATCTGAGCAATTATTCAATTTGAACAATCTAAGTGGAGCCAAGTACTAAATTGGAAACTG